TTGTATCCTTACCTGTTAAAGACATTATCGCTGAAGGCATATTTTTCTAGACGAGCCAGTGGAGTTAAGTTATCCTGTCCAGGGATATCCAGGAATGCTGTTATCCTCATGCTATCACAGTCTGGCCCATAATCTTCAAATCCAACTTGAAAGACAAGAAAAGTAACAGACAAAAAAAAAAAACAAAACCCAAGAGTCAGCAAGAGATGTTACAGTGGAATACATGATAGCAACAACTATTTCCTCAAGAGTCTTTGAACATCACTGGAAACAGCTTACCAAAACCAAAAAATCTTCAATTGTATCTAATGAAGTTGAGTGCAACACTTGCACATGACCCTGTAAATTTAAGCTTTGATATTTAATTCAACTGTCAAAATCCTTGGCTTTAAACACACTTGACTTTGCCCTTTGAGTGCAGTAACCACACACATTCCGAGTTAAGAGGGCTCAGCTCACACAATTGCCACAAACTGACCCACAAATTCAAAGGGAAAATAAGTCCCATTAAAAGGAACTGAAATTTTAACAGTTGTAGCAACTCTCAAACTGTATTGCTTTAAAACAGCAAACTCTTATATCTTTTTCCAACTTCCCAGGGCACATTTTTCTCACTGTAGTTACCGAGTTGCACATATTTAAATCAGACCAGTAGCTTTGGGAAAAACTTCACCTTCACCACCATACTTGGGAACATGCTGGGAGCTTCCTGCTGCAGATCCATCATCTACAGACTTTTCCACATAAGCATACTCTGTTCTAAATCTTTTTTGTATTTGCAGCTTCAGACTTTTACCCAAGTATTACATTTGCCTCACCAAGTCCAAGAGTCACCTAATCCAGTAACAATTACAGATTACAGGCAGAAGGTAAAACTGTGAGAAGGAAATGGAATGGGATAACTTTGCTGTCAGACTTATTTTAATCCTTCATCCTTAAAACAGAGACAGTGAAATAACATGCCAGCATCACACCAGTGCTCTCATTGCAGCCACAGATACAGGAACATGGACAGCAACCAACTCCATGGAAAGAGTGGCACTGGAGTAGCTGATATTCCTGCCCTGGGTTTACAGTTGTCCCAACCAAGCCCTCCTAGAACTATGCACACTTCTTTCACACAAACAGAGCAACTGTGATCATACTTAAATCAATGCAAAATGTGCCAACACAGCTTCTCACATGCATGAAATATTGCAAACCAGCACGTGCTGAGAGTGACAAAGCACTGAAGACAACAAGCCAAATTCTTTGGCTCTAAACTACAGTAATACCCATTATAAATCACTTTTAATGTTAAAAACCCCTCTATTTTTCCAACAGAAAAATCTTATTTCATATATAAAACTCTTCTTTCCAATTATTTAACATGAGTCAAAACATCCTCAGAAATAAGGCTCATTTACAGAGGAAATTATCTGAACATATTTGGAGCACAATGTTATACCTGGGTCCTCAGGGGGGAAAAAATAAAAATCAGATTGGTTTAAGGTCTCCACAGAACCCAGGTGAGTTAAAGACCAGAGCAATTCCAAACTCTGCTGCTCATGCAGACAACATGCTCAACAAGCTCAATGGGGTTCAAACAGCAGAAAACTGTGGGATTAGAATAAGTGTTCAAATCCTAAATGTACACACAGGCACTACAAGTGAACCCACAGCTACACGGCCAGAAACAGCTGCTAATTATTCATGGCTTTGTGTGGTGATGATGTATTGCACTGACACCCTTATTTCCACCCCACTGCTCCTTAAAGAAGGATCTGCCGGGTTCAAAACATTTCTCTGCACCAGTGTAAACAATTTCCAATGCACGGATCCATCCGGGATCGATCTGCTCCAGGACTTCCCCAATCACAGCACCTGAACATCCAGATTTGCTGCTTCAGAAGAAACCTCTGTATCCCTGACAGCTCAGGGGAAGTTACACAGTGTCTGTGGGATCGCAGATTTCCTTTCTGAGGTTGCAACAAATCCTCCACATCCACACCCGACTCTCACCATCCTTATAGCTACAGTTATAACAAATGTATTTTAAAATGCACACAGACTGAACACTCACTAGCTAATTTTTGAGCCTAGTCACCTGCTATACAAAGAAAGATTTATTAGGGCTCAAGAAAACAATTAGGATCAATATACTTGTCATTAACTTCACCTGGCTCCCACCTGTCCCCAATTAGAAACACTTTAAAAATGAAGGCTTTTATTAGTTCACTTCACATATTTTAGAATTTCTACCAATTCAAATGACAATGAAATAAATCCCAATTCTAACTTTGACTACTATACCACACCTGGGACTAGTTTTGTAAACATGATGAACATGTTTAATTTTACTATGTGAAGTAGCTCTATTATTCATTTAAATTACCTAAGCACATACCAGTGCTTCCAAGGGTAGAGAGAAAACAGAGCACTATTACTTATGCTCAAGATGGAGAGTTAAATACCTGAAATTTTTTCCACACACTCTCACTACACACAAGTAAGGAATAATCATGGCAGAATCCATTTTGTCTTCTCTCAGGAATTTTTTCTTTTTCCATAAAAAAAGAAGCCATAGGTACTTACAGGTTTCAGAATACACCAGAGTACTATGAAATAAATCACAAATAATGAACTAGCATTTCTTGTCTAATGTTCTTTCACAGGTAAATCTAACATTCAGTATTTTTCCATTTAATTATATTAAACAAGTAAGTTTGAAATCTGTCCACCTCTGAGGAGGAATAAATGTGCCAGTATCCAGAGCTGAACTCGAGTTCACTGTGTCTCAGTTTGCCCCAGACTCAAAAGCTGCTTAGAGCCTGTAAGAAACTCAGGGTCACAGGACCTAAGGGTGCAACTCAATGTCATCTCCCAGTGCCACTATTAACATTTCACAACACAAACCAGTAAATACCAGTGCAGAGTGCAACCATTTAATGAGCTCAAGGAGGTCATTTTCCCTCCTGGTGTTTGTAGAAGGAAAAACAAATTCTTTAAATACTTTCTTTTTAAATGTTCAAAGGGCATAAATAAGCTAATTATTTTTCCAGATGATCCATTATCTCATCTTAGAGAAAACAAGTTTAAAACTGCACTTGAACTTAGGCAGGTTTTACTACAGCCTTTTGCCACATTCAGAGTAATCCTCCAGACTCTGTTTCAATCTTCAGTGTGCATGACACTTCCACCAAATTAGTTAAGAAAGTAAAAGTCCAGTGCCAGTGATTTATTTCACTGAGGTTTTCCTAAAACACATCATGAACTCTTTGCTAGCCTAAGTCACTGATCAGCACAACAATATCTCAGATGGGACCCCTGAACTCTGCTACAACACAGAGACAACAGCTTTTGATTCCATAATTCTAACTGCATTATCAAATTAATGAACTTAATCAAAGAGTATTTTAAATCATAAAATAAGACTTTAATAATGCTCTAAAAGGCACATTTATTTATATGCTTATGCTGAAACTGATATTTTCTCTTATTAATTACCACTTATGGCAAAAACTTCTTTATCTGGACATTTTTATTAACTGGAGTTTTGCCTTAGAAGCAAACTTCTTAATCAATTTACCAGACAAATGTGTCACAGTCTCAACAAAACAGCCAAAGACTGAGCACTAATGCAGAACAAACACTTCTAGGGATGGGCACCCCTGGTCCCAGGCCAAAACCCATAACACAACCACTACCAAGTCTGAATTTATTTCTGCTGTTTGCACTTTAAACCTCAAAGGCTGAGAGCAACAACTAACAGAATCCCACAGAGCCACCTCCTCCCACAGAGGCAACATCCCTGCACATCTTCCCAATGGAAGACTTGGGATCCCACTTGTATCCCAGCATTTCCCCTGGCGTTCTGAAGACCATCTTCTTCATAAATCTGTTACACGTTTTCAAGCACTATTAAACAATAACGGTTTTGTGATAAACAAATACAGTTTCTCACAAGAAACACGTACAAGTATCATTTTTTCATTTCTTTTTAAGAGAAAAGTCAATCCAGCATCCGAAGTGCCAATAAAACCACCCTACAAAGAGAGCTGCTTTCTAAAGCCATACAAGTTCGTTATCATTGTTAGTCAAGGCTTTATCTTCCTAAATCACAGCGCTTACCAAGCCGTGCTCAGGGTCTGACAGGTGTCCGACTCTTCTGTAACACAGCCCTGGACTACCCCGGCTTGGGATGGAGCTGTTCCCTGCCCTGGGACCCTCGACAGGGCACTGAACCCAAAACCACGGCTTTGTGCGACCCAATCGCAGCGCACACGGCGATTGTTCCCTTTATCCCGAGGTGCACTCGCAGCACATCCCGGGGATGCAGAACAGCTGAACACGCGTCCTCAGCAGCCTCTACAGCCTTGGAAAGTCAATTCCCTAATTCCCACCGACCACAGGAGCGGGGCTGCTCCCCCGAGCCACCCGTGCGCCTTTCCAGGCTCATCGCGGAGCTGCCGGAGCTGCTCTTTACACCGAGCCCTGCGGCCCCTGGAACCAGCGAGGATGGTCCTAACACCCTGTACACCTTCACCTGCCAGAACTGCCTCACCATCCTCCCCTCGCCCTCACCTGGGTGAAAATGCGGAGAGGGAAAGAGGGCAGCAGGAGGACCCCAGGGTGGGAGCGGGGGCCTGAACGGGGAGCGGAAAAATAAAAAAACAGTTACTCACAATCATCTAAGTCATCCTGCAAATCCACAAAATACAAAGGGATCCCTACAAACGAAAAACAGAAGAGAGATACCAGGGGGGTTGGTTTCGGAGGGACGGGGCAGCCCCGGCTGAGCCGCCCGCCCGCCTGCCGGCCCCACTTACCGGCCATCTTGGAATGGACATGGGCGAGGAGGAGGAGGAGCGGGAGGGCACAGGGAGGAGCCGCCGGCGCTTCCTGCCGCCGGGTCAGCCCCGAAACGCCACCGGGTTGAACGAGCCGCGGCTGCCGGGGGTCGAGCGGCCCCTCAGCGCCTGAGGAGAAGAAGAGTGGGGCGGGGGGCGCGGGCGGGGATTCCGGCGGCCGCCCAAGATGGCGGCGCGGCCGCGCAGCCTGAGGAGGAGCGCGGGGCGCGGGTAACCGGGGCGGGCGCGGGGCGGCCGCGATGATCGAGCTGGGCCGCGTCTCAGGCGCTCGCTGAAGGCGCAGCCCGCCCGGCCATGGCGCTGAGGGAGCTCAAAGTTTGCCTTCTGGGGGTAAGTGTGGGGCGGCGGAAGGGAGGGTGGGAGCGGGAGGGAGAGGCTCTGTCAGAGCCCGGAGAGCCTCCGCGGTGATGGTGGGGAGCCTCTGTCAGAGCCCGGAGAGGCTCCGGCCGCGGGGATCCGCTCCCTGGGCGGAGGGTGCCCCTCGTCCCATCCCTCTGAGGGGAGCGGGCCTTCCCCTCCTCCGGGGTGGTGTTTGCCAGCCCCCACTACCGGTCCTTTTTTCCCCGTGTTCTCCTTTTAAAAATGAGAGAGGAAGCACGAACATCCAGCGTGTGCTTCCCTCTTCCTCACGAGCTGTTCCGGGCTTGAAGCTCGCAAGGTAAATAGAAGCACCTGAAATCAAAGTGGTGGGAGAGAGGGAGGGGCCTGAACTTTTATTTTAAGGACATACGGATGCTTGGAAGCCTTGCAGGTAGGGGAAGAAGGAGTCGCGGTGCAAACTGAAGCAGAAGAATTCAAGGCTGTGAATTTAGTCTTGGTTTAGTCAGGGAGCCTCTCGTTGAGCAGGTGGAGGTGCCACCACCTGCATCGAAACCCTGTGTTGAACAGAGTCGGGCGAGAGTTTTCTGCTTCTAAATAGCTACATTGACCTTCAGAGGGGAAAATTATGTGTTTGTTTGCCCTTTGCGTTACGAAGGCATTTGGGGTAACTGCTGTTTGTGTCCACCCGACCTGAGAAGCCTTTTGTCACGTAAGAGGAGGAGAATAAGCACCCAGGAAAACTGGTCCTTGAACTCCCAGAGCCAGGAGCCACATCTGAATTTCTCTGTTTAAGGTTTGCTCTGCTTCATAAGACTGCAAACAATACAAAATATTGTATTTTAGAAGAACTGGGATAATATGTTTTTCCTCGAGAGGAAAACAGCTTGACAGGATGAACACAGTCATATGTACTGCACCCAAATTTACTGCAATATTCAGAAGATTCAAAAAAAACATATGAATAATGTACAACTTCATTTTCAGTGAAGCTCTTCCTCAGGGTTTTTTTTTCATTAAAACTTTAATAACTCAGGAGATGTAAAGCAAAAGGTTGGTCTTCGAATGTATTAATTAAATGACAATTTAAGATGCCCATCTTCTACTGAGAAGAGTTTACTGAGTTATTTCAGTTCTAGTTATGACTTCTATATATCTGTTTTTTTAACCATGGGATCAGTGGTGCGAAAACATACAGGACCCAGAATTTTCATGTTATGTTTCCTCTTCTACCATTTGTAGAGTTGCATTAGTAACATGTTTCAGGTGTGTCACAGAAGAAATTTCAAGTCTTTCATTAAGCAGGGTGGGACAGCATTAGTCAGAGGTTAAATGCATGTGTCACACTTGTATAATTCCATGTGCTCTATTGGTCCTCCATCCTGCCAAGCCATACTCAGTTGCTGTGTATTTTACTAATAATGGTCTTTCCCTGTTGCTGTTCAATTGCAAGTTGTGCATAACTTTGGAAAAGAAAAGTTTGAATAATAAATAATAAGTGTGAATGCAGATTTTTATAGTCCTTCATGAAAAGTTGTAGCAATTTCATTTAGAAAACTGTGATTTATCGCAGGCCTTTCCTTTTTCTACTAAATGAATATAGTACTTGAAGTATTTAATCATCTGATTTCTCTGAGATTCTCGGCAGGAATATATTATCACAATGTTCTGCAAGATCTGAGGACAAAATATCATCTGTTTATAGTAACTAATGTCACTTTCAACTGTTTCTGTTCTTTTTTTAGGACACTGGTGTGGGCAAATCAAGTATCGTGTGGAGGTTTGTAGAAGATAGCTTTGATCCCAACATCAACCCAACAATAGGGTAAGAAACCGAATAAAGCAGATGTGATTTATTCATGAATAAAGTGAAATTATCTGAGTAGATCACTTGAGGATTCTTCGTGTGTGGCAGCTAAATGTGGCAATAAACATGACTGCAGCCTTAATGAAGCTCCTGAGCTGCCTTAGGACACGTAGGAGTGTTCTCAGCACTCGTGAAGCTCACATGTTCATCTGTAAGATCTGGACCCATTTTTTATTGTTTGTCTAAGCTAACAGTGAATAAATTACACTGTAGATGCTTTTGCTAAAGGGACAACACTCTTTTCTTATGCGCTACCTCTAAATTTCAACTTCTGATTATTATGCAACTACACGGTTTTTAATTTATTTTTTTTAAATACTCAAGTACATTTACAAGTCTCCTAGGTTTTGAAGGTGGTTAACATACTAATTTAGGTTGTAGATCTCTCCAGGAATTAGTTCCAATGTTGCACATCCATGTGCAATGCACACACAATAGTAACTGGTGGAACTGTTTGTGCAGTTGGTCTCACAGGTGAGAAGGGTGTTATAAGTTGAGCCTCAGAGTAGCAACGTTACTGAGCTTGAATCTTCGAATGGGTAGAAGGAAGGGCAGTAGGAAGTAGCTGGACCTTTTTATTTCTTTTGCTGTCTTTCTTTTTGGTTTTCAAGTGTCTTATGGCCTGCTTTGATCAGAAGCAGTCCTTGGCTTAGGGGAGGACACACTTCACTTGATGCTCAGGAGTGTGTGGGGGTGTCGGTGCAACTTCCTGTCTCAGGTGTCACACGGGCTCACTGCAGCTCTGACCAGAAAAAATCCTGCTGATAAACATCAGCTGTGTCTCATCCTGTCCTAAAATATTGGGCTCCCCATGATCTCTCTCTTTCCCCTTACACCCCTAATGATATGGAATTGCCAGATGTTCTGTGGGAAGCTTTGGTTTAAATTTCCCTGTTAACAGCAGCAGCCTTTGGAATGAACTTCATCAAATCTTGTTGTCCTTCCTCCAGAGTCTGTTTTGATCTGGTGATTTGCTGACTGCTGTGTGGGTTGATTTTTTTTTTCCCTTTTATTCTCCTCCCTCCAATGTAGCACCTCTGTGTTTGAAGGCAGGAATCCAAAGAAATCCCTTGCATGTGTCTTCCCAGGGCAATGTCTGTCGCTGTGTAGAGAGTTCAGGTGCTGTTGGAAGGTGTTAGCCATTGTGGTGAGGAGGCTGGTGTGTACAAGAGAATTTTCCTTCACTGGTTTAATGACAGTACTGAGATTAGTACACTTGATTGAAGTGACAGACTCAAAATCTGTCTTCTACCAGTCTTAAAATCATTCCCTTGTCTGAGGACTTGGTATCTTGGTAGTTTGCTGTTGTGGTATAAATGAATCAAAATCTGCCCAAATGCAGGGGTTGTGTGAAGCTCCAATAAGATACACAGAACCAAAACTTTAAGCAGGTTAACTTTGAAATTTATTTTAGACCTTGCTTTTATTTCCTGTTTGAGACTAGTAGGTAGAAAGAAAAAACTAAGGATTAGAGAGGAGTTTTGAGCATCTTACAAAACTAAAGCTGAGAATGTTTTGACTTCATGGGATACATGTTTGAGTTCATGACGTGAGACACAATCTTGTTTCCTGTTCTGTTTTCATTCCTCTTGGAACTATCTGAGCAATCCCACTTTGTTGTTGTGAATGTTCATCACAAAGGTTCAAACATGAGCAGCTGTAGAAGCCCTGTCAGAATTCTGCGACTTTTGTCCTCTCAGGGTGTTGAGGACACATTTAACCAGTATCTCTCTCTAGGTACTGCAGAATATCTAGTCTTTCATTACAGCATCAAAAAAGAATTATGAGCATCAAACTGCTTTCAGGTACATTTTGTTCAGGTAGTTACAGAGCCTTCTTGGCTGGGAGAAGCAGCAAGGAAATCTAGTAACAAACCAGACATTATTCCTACTAAAAGTCATCAGGGATAACTCGTTTGGAGGCTTTTGTTGACCCAATGGGCAAAGAATTTCAAGCAACATTTAACCTCTGTTATCAGCTACCACTTGGGATGTTTAGTTGTGATGTGAATTACAGCAACACAGCTGTTCAGTTCATATTGACTGTACAGGGATATTTTGGAACCGAGTAAGATAAATTCAGTGAGAATCAATGATTTAGGAAACTGTTTCCATGTTGACCAGAGAATTCAGATTTGGTGCTTATTTTGCAGCAGTCTTAAGGACGTGGAAGTTTCTGCTGTGCTTTACAAGAGATACTCCTATCACTTTGTTTTCATTTACTCAGTGCAGAAATACATCAGCTAGTTAATGGTGTTGAAATGCATTGCAATTAGACCCTTCCTTTGCAGGGGTTCTGCAACCTTATATTTGGCTTCTTGAAAGACTAATCAACTTTGGAGACTGATGTACTATTTGGCAAACGAGCTGGGCTTAAGGAATGGGGAGAAAGTTACCTCCAAACAGTTGGAAGCATTGTGTAACTGCTCCCTTTCCCTTTTTTTTAAATGTAGATAGTTATTTGTCCTCCTATAGCATTGAAACATGTCCAAAGATTCCAGTTGTATTGAATACAAAAGTGTCAGGAACATCATTAAAATCTGTGCCCTGGTGGTACTTCAGATCCAAGATAAACTTGAGTCTTGGGCATTTAATGTTGTTGATCATGCTGAAAGGCTCCTGCTGACTCTGACTGTGCAGCAAGTACAGTTGGGGTGCTGGAAGAGGCTCCAGTACCTTCAGAATCCTGTCCAAAAGTGACAGGAAAGCAAGTTTGGAAGTCTGCAGTATTTTCAAGTGACAAGCATTAATCGTACAAAAGGTGTTCAGGATCACAACGTAGGGTCTCGTGCTTAAAATAACTATGTCACCTATAGTTCCAGTTCTACAAGGATTTGAATTCACTGTGTGGCTTTTCTAGTAAAAAATGTGCCTACAGGTAATAGATATAGCAAAGAACTCCCTCTTGTAAAAGATTAGTTCTCTGAATTTGTGTTCTTGTGGGAAATACACTGATTCATCTAAAGCAGATCAAGTAAAGCACAAAGTACTTTGCAATATTTTACTGCAAAAGATCTAGAATTTGATCGAGGGGAGAAGCAGCTGGAGAATAGGAGAGATTTTTTTTTTTGTCTTGTGGAAGTCCAAGAGCCTCTGCAAACTAAAGTGTATAATGACAGACAGGGTTTGGGAGCTGCACTGAGTGCAGACAACAAGCAGGTTACTCATTATTGATTTCTCTGTCCTCTTAACACCTACCAGGAGTGATACAAATCTCCCATACCAGTAGTGATACAAATCTCCCATATTTTATTCCCAAGTATGGACATACCAACATTTACCTGAGCGTTAGTACAGAGATAGAAAAAGCTGATACAAAGGGAAGGATTTGACCTCTTTCCCCCTGGAGGTTTCCAGTGTACACTGATTTACTGTGATGATTCCTTCATTTAGGGAGAATATTGTTAAAAGGCTGACCTTTCTGGGTTCTTTGGGTCATACATCCTGTGGTTTTATCAAAAGCTTGTTAATAACTAAAGCTTATAATTGGCATTCCTGTTGCGTTTTGTTAGTTGAATTTCAGGCTCAGAAAGGAAATTTCATCCTCATGAATTTCAGCGTTTTTTATCTGAAACTCTCTCAGTTTGTGTGGGTATGTGTGGGGAAGGCACTTTTATTGGAATGTAAACCTCTCTGAAAGCTCATGGTGGTAATGAATGTTCTAAGGATGTATACATAAACTATGGTGGTTTTTTTTCCAGAGCCTCATTTATGACCAAGACTGTACAGTATCAGAATGAGCTGCATAAATTCTTGATTTGGGATACAGCTGGACAGGAGCGGGTACGTAGAGTCAACACCTGTGGTGAAAGTTGTGGCCAGAGTTTGGGTTGCTTTTCAACTCTGCCCCTGCAATCACAATACTGATCAAATCTGATGGTGTTAGAAGCTGTGTCAAAGGAATCTGGTTTGTAATTTAAATTTCAGTTTGGTAGTTTGGGGTTTTGATCTTTGCAGTGTGCACAGTTCTGAGAGGAGGCAATAACAGCTCTCAAGAAAATGAGTAGTCAAATGAAAACCCAGTTAATTAATTTGCATGATTTTTACTTGGAATTTTAAAGGGCAACTTTGCTAGTGAACTTACTTGTTTATGGATTACTAGTAACAGTGGTAGAAATCACAACAGCTGTATTAGCTGTGCTTATTCTTGCAGTTTGTTGACTGCAAGTTAACTACTGGCAGGTGCCAATTACTCCTGATGAGTTTATTTAGGAGTGAGTTAACTGTAACAAAGGTTGGGTTATTATTTCAGGATAACAGCTGGCAAATGCAGCTTTACTATTTTTCAGGATTGGCTTGAGAAACAGAGCCCCAAAAAAACCCCCAACAAAACATCTCCCAAACAAACAACTCCTCAATAGGAACAAACAAACAAACACCTTGTAAAGGCTCTGTCATCCCTGTGCAGAGTCACTTTTGGATTCCTGGTGGAACTGCCTTGCCAGCTTTTTACCTTGATAACAGCCTTGGTGGCTAGAAAGTAACTCAAGGATATTTGTGTTGCATTTCAGTGCTGTAGATTTTGAATGACAATTCATTTCCTTCCAACAGCACCATATAAAGCAAACTTATGTTGTCAGGGATGTTTCCCAGGAATATGTCCAAGAGTATCCGTGTTATCAAAAATATCTCGAGTCCTTCCATTACTAGCAGTCAGTCAGCATTGGCTGTAAATAGTTTGTCTTAAGTGAACATCTTAGCCCCATTTGGGAATGTTGAGGCTGAAATGTGATATTCTGAGAGGTAGAGTCTGAATTTTTAGAGGTTGGTCCTCTTAACTGGAAAGCTTTGTAAACATGCCTGCCACAGCTTGGCAGGAAACATCCATTACATATCAGCAATCCCATCCTGTCCACTGTTTGCAAGGAACGGGAGGACACGGTGATTTGGATTCAGCTCACTGCAATCTGAGGAAGCATCTCTGTACATGACCAGCATGTTCCTGGTCTGTCTATTTTTAGACTGAGTGATACCTCTTTAATTTTCTTCTGTACGAGTTGAACGATATCTTTATTAAAATCAAAAAAAGGAAAGGTCTTACAGGGCTCTGACCCAAGAGCTGTGATAGCTGTGAAGCTCATGTTCCATTCCTGAGAGAACTTAACTGTGAGACCCCAATATAACCAAGGAATATAACCCCAATATAACCAGGGAATGTGAGCAAGGATGTTTACTTTGAAATGATGCAGTATCTTCACAGGTATTTCTTTGTCCAGAACAGGACAGCACTGTCACTCACTGCCAGTCATAAATGAGCTGCATACCCACCTTGCCCTGAAATCTGTACCAGAGTTTTCTGGTCATGCAACACATCTGACAAAGAATTATGGAAGGGATCTCCTCCGTGGTGATCTGGAATACCAGAAACATCCACACCATTCTTGGAACTAGGATGTCTCTGCTGAGCTGTGATGCGGAACGCACGGAATTCATAGGCCTGGCTTCTTGAGGAGCATTTGCTATTTCCCATTTCAAAAGCCCAGCAGCAACTAGTGCTACACTGCTCTGGGCACTCCCTTGTTCTCAGGGGTGGCTGATCAGAGATGGGAATGGGCACCAATTTACTTCCCACAGCTCATTGCCCTAAACACACACCTTATTTCTTCCCTCATTTCTTCTACACTGACTCAAACTGATAGGGGGTTATTTACAGCAATTAGGATTTTTGCCTTCTTAACAATTTTGAGTTTCTCTGGATAATTACATTATGTAGCCTTAACAATTCTGTCAGAACATGAATTGGAGGCTGGAGGGCAAGCTGAAGTCTTTGGAAATATTGCAAAAGGAAAATTCACTGTTTCTGGTAACATCTGTTTTGTTAATATATTTTATCTGCCGACTGCTCTTAAGGTGGAAAAAAGTATCTAAGTGTTAGCAGACAGGAAATGAGAGTAATACAAAATCAGCAAGTGAAAGTTGGTTTATTCCCAATGTAAATAGTCAAATAATCAAAAAGCCAGGTTGCAACCAGTCCAAGTGGTGGTTTACCAAATATGTTTCCCTTTACATTTTAGTGCTTAGGAGGGAGAGAGGGATTATGTCCCAACGTGAACTGAATGCCTGCCCATGTTTCCCTTTCTCACTATTAAATATTTTTATATTCTGAACTTTGTGTTCAAAATCCTATTTTCAAAACAGAATTTGAGAGCCAAATGTAAATGGTCTGGAATTCTGCTTTATAGCAAGATTTTTATGATTTATAATATTGCTCTCAGTTGAACTGCACTAAGCAAAAGGAAATTGATATTTTATTAGAACTGAATAAGCCTTTATGAAAAACTGTATCCAATTCATTATTTTTACCCTGAGTAATAAGATGCACAAAAGTTCTAAATGTGCTTATATGGGAGCAATATATGCAGTTCACTCTGTACTCTGATGGAGAGTTTTGGTTGCTAGATTAGTTGTCTTGGGGTTTTTTTAAGTTGGCAGAATATCACAGTGTTTATAAGAATGTTTCATTGATACTTTTGATGCAACTTGATCATGTGGTTTATGACTTTTTTCAGTCCTGGATTCATAACACTCTCTCAGGGCAAGGGTGCAGGCCTGGTTTGTACCCTGCAAATGGCCAACCATCCAAATAGACCTGCTGTAGATTTAATTCTGAAAATAACAAGAAAATTACTGCAGCCTTTTACTGCCTAGTGTTGTCCCTTAAAGCTCTACTTGCAGCAGGTCACACAGTTGTGGCCTTTTGCAGTTTTTAGTTTTAAACACGCTTCTAACTTTTGAGAGAAAAACTGTAGTGAAATCCTTAAAACCTTAAGTTAGATTATGAAAAAACCAGCATTTCTAGCATTTAAGAGTTCTGTGACTGATCCATGGGCTAGAGCTTGACACTAACTTCTGGACATTTCAGATCAGCATTAATATATATTAATTTTCTTGAAATTTTTGTCTTAGTCAAAATTGAACTTGCTTCTTGCTCTATTTTTCTCCTTGTTTGGTGTTTAAAGTTGAGCGTTGAGTTTGTGTATAATTGACAGTCTGTTAAGTGAGAGATTCTAATCTAGTCAAAATAAGAGTTTGTGTATAATTGACAGTCTGTCAGGTGAGAGATTCTAATCAAGTCAGAATAAACTCAGGTTTGACTTCCTGCTGTTTGCAGTAGGTGTGCTGCTGCTCCCCAAACCAGCTCCTGGCTGCCCTTTGGAGAACAATGCCTTCCTGGGCCTCGATGTGCTCTGCTGCACAGAGTCACTGTAATTGTAAAGAAAGGTTTTCCACTCATGTGACCTTTAAAGCCAGTTTTCAGCAGTGCTGGTGATGGTAATGAACTCCTGGAGGTCAGGGGAAGGTGATGTTCATGTTGTCTGCTCTCTCTTTTCAGTTCCGTGCTTTAGCCCCGATGTATTACAGAGGCTCAGCAGCAGCCATTATAGTGTATGACATCACAAAAGAGGTAAGAAATTTATCCTTATCCAGCATTACAATTTCTGGGGTTTTTTTCTATGTCATGGGCCAGTTCTGACTCATAATTCCTTCTGTCTTTTTTTTTTTTTTCCACATCAGGAAACATTCTCAACGTTAAAGAACTGGGTTAAAGAGCTTCGCCAGCACGGACCTCCCAACATTGTTGTAGCTATTGCAGGAAATAAGTGTGATCTCAATGATGTGAGGTAAATAACTGTTGTCAGGTTGGAGATTTTCCCTTAAGCCCATAGTGCTAAATGTTTTAGGATTTCAGAGCAGCTGAAAGCTACAGAACAATTTAAGCTGTTTTGCTCTAGCACTGTAGTTTCACAGGGGATTTGAGCTGTTTCTACTGTCAGAAGATGTGGTTAGGCTGCCCTTGGATGGTCTTGCCCACTTCCTCCCCAGTGCTGCTGTGAGTAGATGTGTGATTGGCAGTAAATGGGACTGTAAAATGGATCCAGATTAAAACTAACCCCTTAAAAAAAATAAAAAGAGAACCCATCCAAGTGTATTTATCTTTCTCACACCATGAACACTTGCTGGCATAACAGTGTGGGGATAGCAGGGTTAGGAATGAGCAGTTTACTGGGAGACAGGATTACCTTTTCTGGTGGCAGTGCCAAGTTACACAAACCTAAACTGCCTGTGAAACTATAGTGTAATAGAAGCTGTTTACCTCACTCTGTAAGAAGTGCCCCTGTCAGTCTGTAGCACCTCATTTTGTTAGGAAAAATATCAAGCCTGTTGGAAAGCATTGTGTAGGTTTTTCTGACTTGCTTGTTCAGGTGCCTTCCTTCCCTGCTCAAATATTGGGGTGGAATTGGCTGTGGCCAAAATAGTTGCAGGGAGCGGGAAAAGCTCTTGAGAAATTTTATGAACAGCCAAACTTTCAAGAAGGCATGTACTAAAAACAAAAGAAGGCTTTTTTTATTGATGTCCTGGTTTAATAAGCCAGAATTCAGAAAGAAGGTGTGTGTAAACTTCTTGGTTTTAGATTTCATTGGAAAAGGTACCATAGCTGGTGTCTCAAAGGAGACAGATGGTTCTGTGTTTAAAGAACCACTGCAAAGGGGGTTCTTAGAATAGTTTTACAAATTGTTAATATATAGCAGTCAGCTAGTGAGCTCTAGTAACTTCTGTTACAAGTAGCATGTCTCTTGAAGGACATACAGCTTAAAACTCCTTGGAACAGTATTCAGATTGACACTCATTTCTTGGTGCTTAGGTGGCAATCATGAATTATGTAAACATTATTATTCAAGCTAATGAGCAAGACTCCTTGTGCTTTAGTCAGAGGCAATATCTGAGTCACTGATCAGTGTGTGCTCTTGATATTCTGAAGTTTCTCATTACTGAAAGTAGCCTGTGTTTTGCAGAAATTGTATGTCAAGTGATAACAACATATAGTTCAGACCTCTCTCCACCTATTAGGGTTTGGTTTTTTCAAGTTGTTTAAGGAACTTTCTTCATTATCAACTTGCCTACTTTGGGGTGCAGAATAACTATTCCACTGCTGGGCTCTGTGGTTCTGTGCTCAGTATAAAGATGTTCCTCTTTATAGCTACATCTTCATGCAAAATAAATACTGCCCTAATGATTTGTGCAGTGTTGGGAGATACTTGGAGTTGTAAACAGTTGTAGGAAATGCTCTGGATCTTTGGAATTAATGCTTTAGGATCGTGTCAGCACATCTAAAGCTGGTGAGTGTGTAACACACCCCAGAACAATTGATTGCAGACCTGCACTGAGAGCACTCAAGACAAAACCTTTGCAGTGTTGTCAGATGGATTAAGGCCTTGCTTAGTTTAGGATTGTGCTCAAACCTCAAGGCAGGGAGACAGCACAGAGTAAAGAATGAGCATCACTTCAGCACTGTGATGCCAGACAGGTAAAATAGAAAATACCCTTTACAGGAGACACTTAAAAGCCTAATCTATCCCTTAAGGTTTTGAATAATGAGGGGGGTTTTGCACTCATGGTTTTTTCTTTGCTTTGTTTTTCCAGAGAAGTCATGGAAAAAGATGCTAAAGACTATGCAGATTCCATTCATGCAATATTTGTAGAGACAAGTGCGAAAAATGCAATAAACATTAATGAACTCTTTATAGAAATTAGTAAGTATTGAAACAGTTAATATACTTTCTTCTGCAACAAGTTCAAGTAGAAATTTGATTTCTTTATTACTTTTGTGCTATTGAGGTGTGAGTATACTGACTTAATTTTTCTGCAATCAGACATGAATACAAACTGCAAAATGAGCTGCGTGAATTTTTGGTCATCTAATGACCTCTAAATATTCCTTCTAGAGATCTTAAGCCTACTGTGATGCTGTTGGATAAATAGCAAGCAGGGCACTCATGTCAGAATTCAGTCTCATCTTACTATGTCTGTTACTGAATGTTTCAATTAGTACTTCCAAGGTCATGGAGGGGAAAAGAAATGGCATGAGGAAGATCCAGACTTTATACATGTGAGAAAAGGAATTAAGTTCTTGCTCTTAGTGTTTGTACTTGGTCTAAAAAAGTGCATTTTTAAAAACAGAAGAATTCATAAATGCCAAATTATTGCATGAGAAATAGCAACTATTGCATGTGGATTTTCCACAAGTATTTTTGTGGTATCTTGGGGTTTTTTTATATTAAATTGCAAATCTTTTCTGTCTCATTTGTGGTGGGGACAACAATGATACTTTTTATGTTTGTGAATAAAAAGCAGACAGTATTCCAAAGTGAATTCCATGCAATATTATTTGGGGGATATGTGGCAAGTAGCAACACCAATGTGCAGGTACATCAGCCTGCTTGTGAAAAGAGGGCTAACTACAGAAACATTAGACTTAGGAAAAAAAATAGGTCTTTCTAAACAGCTGAATATATTGAAGCTGATGTAAAAAGTATGTGCTGTAGATTGGCTTCCTGATTTACTGACTTAATAGCTGCTCTCTAAAATTGATCTTGAATAAATCACATGGGGAAAAAAAATCATAAATCCTGCTCAGAAAGGAATACTCAACCAGGAATAGTCCATTTGAAAGACTGATGAGATGACTAAAGCTGCTCTCTCCACAAGCACCTCGGTGCTAAGCCCGGTGCGGGTGATCTGTGGAAATATGGGTCAGGATGGGAGTTCTCAATGAAGGTATTCCAGATGGCCTTGCATCCTGCAGAGTATGTGCTCTGAGTGCTTTTACAGCTCAGCTGGCCAGGTCTAGATGAGCCTGAAGAGTAAACGCTGCTAAATTAGCTCTGAACTGCCTCTGCTCCTCCTTTGTGCAGACACGGTGGAGACTCCTGCTGCCATCCTGTTAGGCAGGAATGCCATCCCTAATGTCACACAGCTAATTGAAGGCGCATCTTTATACACAAAATATACATTGAGTGCTTAGAATTGGTTTCAAGTATAACATTTGCTATAAATTTCCTTTCCTGCCTCCTTGTAGGTCGCAGAATTCCATCGACCGACACCAACCCCCCGTCCAGCGGGAAGGGCTTCAAACTTCGGAGGCAGCCATCGGTGACGAAGCGCAGCTGCTGTTGACCGACCCCCTTAGAAAGTCAAACTTGTTCCTACAGTAGGTGGTCTTGGAAGTTCATAAGTTCACGTTGGGTTTGTATTCTCAGTCTTAGATCTTTATCTGCTGGTGTTCACACACCCAGGGTCCCCCCCAAAAAAAAGGGACCAGCTCATCCGACAGCCGCACGCTGGCAGACAGGACTGCAGCCGCGATGCCGTGTGGTGGCTCTTGCATTCAAAGGGAATCCGTCATCACTTTTTTTTGGCCTTGCCTGACAGGAAGGTGACTATATGGGTGGTAGAACTGAAACGTTTCATAGTTTTCTAATCAAGGTTTGAGGAGGTTTGGGGTTTTTTTTTTTTGTAAAAAGGGAAATGAGCACTTTTGTGGGACATCAGGGTGGGAGGAGTCTGGAAGTTAGATGTCATTTCTTCCTTTTCTTCAGTGAGCCTTATTTTAAATCTAAGTGTAGCTAATCCAAAGTGTGATGGGACAGTTGGTGTGAGATGGCTACAGAATAAGCAACTGAAGATAAATAGTAGGTAAATCAGTCCATCCAGTCCCCAAATCCCATTTGCACTTTTTATTTAAAGATGATATGCTCTGGGGGTGGGGACACAAGCAACAGATATTAAACCACAGACAATCTTTCTTTCATGCTGACTGTAATCACTTTAAGGCAAATTGATATGCTCATAGGCATCTTTTTGTTCTCAAAAGTTTTTTAATATTAAGATGTTGGTTGAAGGAAACCTACCTGTAGTTCTGACTAAATTAAGTGGTTACTGACTAAAAAGAGATGCTGTAAACAGATGCTGCCAGTGGTTCTGATAAGACCTACAGGTTTTTGGGGAAAGCTTTTAATTTCTTGGCATGTGTAAAGTGTTCATAGTATATTTATGAGACCAGTGTTTAAAGTATTATAAATTATGTAAAAAATAATGCAATCTTCTACACTCCTTCCATTCCACACCTATGGATAAACCCTTGGGGACTCTCCATCAGGTTTTTTTCCTGCATTTTAGGTATTGTCACTGTGAGTTCATCCAGAGGCAGATGAAATTCTTTCTCTTTCAATCACATTTGAAAGGGCCAATAGAGAATGCTGTCAGTGCAGCATGAGGACTGTCTGTTGAACAAGCTTTCATCTGGGGTGCACCCAGTCTTTCCTATTTTGGGCACAAAAATACAAATAGGAAGTAACCTTAAGACACGTGGTAACGTAGATCGTTACCACTTGGTTCCTGGGGTTTTTAATCTGTGAGGGGTTTTAGCAATTCAGTGTTTAGCTTATTCTGTATTGGTTTTAGTAGGCTTTCAATTAAACCATAGGTTGACCATACCTGTTTGTGCTATTTTATTTATTTTTACTTTTTGTTTCTTACCAGCACTAGTGAGAAACTTTTATACTTTTGAAGAAGAACAGCTTAATAGACTTGAGTATATACTAAAATATGCTGTTTAGCTTTAGTATCAAAATGAGGTCATGTTGATGATGCTTATTCTTTGTTTTTAATCTGGTTTTCTATCATCTCAAGTATTTTCTCTGAAGGAAATGTAAGAAAGTTTGTAAGAAATGAAAGGACTCGTAGTTCAGATTAGTTTGTATTCGTGACAATTCCCACAGAGCTGTTCTGGAGCAAAACAGGCAAACTGTTGCAGTGAGGTTTCTGAAAGGGTCAGGATGTTCTAATGAAATTTGGTGACTACATTTCTGTCATGCCTTTTGCTCACCCTGCCTGCACTGCCAATGATGCCTTCTTTGCCTCACGCCCAAAAAACACAACTTCCTTGCACACTTCCTATCCTTTTGCAGTTCTGATCCTGAATTACTGCAGTTAATGGAAACATGGAAATAGCCAATGTTTGAGATTGTCCAAACTACAAACCCTGGAGGGAGGCTGCTCTTTAACACCTGCCTGTTTAAACTGACAGACGGTTGATGTAAGTTCTGAGTCAAGAGAACTGTTTATTGATCCATTGGCCCCAGCTGGAAGCTGGAATAGTCTTCCCTGGATGAGATGCACATGTTGATTGCTTCATTTTTCTTGTAGAAGAATGGTTTCTTTTGTATTAATAATTTGTCAGGTCATCTGCTTTCATCTTGCACTAGGCTTGCTGGAATTGATTTTATTTTGTCCCAACATAGCTTCTCTATTTGGTGATACATTAGTATTTGAGTGTTTGGAGAGCTGATTATCAACTGTTCCAGCTAAATTTTTTAATAATTTTTTTCTGTGAAGAAGTTGTTAAAAAAGCTCAGGATTAAAGTTTTATTCCACCATATCTTTCTGCTTAATGAGTGGAGCTCATCAGAGAGACCAGACTTTCAGATGCTCTCAAAGGGAATTCCACAATCACAGAATGGGTCAGGTTGGAGGGGAGCACAGTGGGTCATCTGGTTCAACTTCCCTGCTCCAGCAGCATCTTCCCAGAGCACATGGCACAGCTTAATTCCTGCAAAACAGGTCTGGAATGGTAAAGTACCATGTATGTAAAAATGTAGCGAGGTGCGTGTCATAGCATTGATCCAGAGCATTTTTTAACTGATAGAATATGACTGTTTCAACTTCTAAACAACACCACTACCATTCTTTCACATGAAAGTTACAGATTTGAACAAAAATATAATTTGGTAAATATTTAGTTCTTAAGCTTTGGAGCAACTTGAATGTGCTCCCCAAGTTTTGGGAGGTGTCTTCATCCAACCCTGTAAATTACAACAGCCACTTGGCTGCCTTGCCAGGCTCCTGATCTGTGCTGTAGGTAATTTTGTAGGATATTTTATAACCATCCTGAAAACTGGCACAACTAAATGCCCAAGAAGGCAAAATCTGGAAACTTACATTTAATAACATGAACGTCTAGTAATCCTACTACTGAAAATTGTTACAGGTGCTTTGAAAAGCTCTAAGACAATTCTAACACTTTTTGCTGTTGCCAAGAAGGTAAAGACTTTGTTCTTAGGTCCATGTTGAAACAAAACAAATCACTGCTCTTCAGAACCCTGCTGACATCAGTGAGACCCTTCCTTTAAGTGCTGCAGGATCAGACAGTTAATGGTTTAGAAGGATGTTTTGTGCAGACTTGAGTCTTTGATGTGTTGCTTTACATTTAATGCCACTGGCCTGCTCAAGAAAGATTATTTATTTGCTTGGGAAAAGAGTAAGAGGAGAGGAGACAGTGCCTGCTTACTGATTTGGAAGTCTAATCCTTTAACCTGATTGAGGGAGAGCTACATTTGTGGTTAAAGCTTCATTTAACTATCAAGAAGTAATTCAGGGTGGATATCTTGGATGGTTTAAAAGTTGGCCTCAGCAAGACTTTTTTGTTAACGCTGTTAAGCTTAAATTATTCCTCAAAATAAGGTAATATTAGCTGGAAAAGGAAGCTGTAGCAGTGATGTTTGAATGACTTGCTTGTGGAACAGTCTTTAGTGTGTATTAAGGGTGTTGTAGTTTATTTGTGGTGTGCTATGTCAGCAATCTGCAAAGACTGTCTTGGGAATTGATGATGTACAGGACAGAAGCTGTCAGAGCAGTGGAGCCTCACCCTGAGTGAACCTCCCTCCCAGCAGCAATAGCTACAGACAAGCAGGGAAAAATCATCTCAAACATGAGGAGAGTCTGCATCACTCACTGACTTCAACTTCTATACTGCCTGCTCAGTTTCTAAAAAGGCTTCGTGTATCTCTTGTGAACACTTTCAACCTCTAGAAAAAAAGAGGCTTTTCTGTTCATGGACAAGAGAGCAGGACAAACTTTCTTAACTTTCCTAGCAGGAAGTCGTTTTACAGAGACCTGAGTTGGTTTATACCCCACGAGTCAGTTACTTGAAGCAGGAGAATTGTGTACTTGAAATTAAGCTTCTAAAAAAAATCTGCACAAAATTCTCTGAAGAAAACTGTTAATGTTTTATGTTCAGATCCCATCCCTAGTAATAGATGACTAGTAATGGTAGGTGACAGAAGATTTACAGAAATAAGATGTTGGTGTGAAATACCAATGTCAGATGGAAACACAGGTTCTAATATTAAAAAAGTCATGTTAGCTTTCCTTTGAGTCTTATGGCTCCAGCTTGTCAAAAGGAATGTGCTTGAAACTACATCTCTGTATATCCTACAAAATTCAGGTGCCAAAACATAATTCCCTAACATTATTGAGGCCTTCTGACACCAGTGTTTCTGAAACATCCCTTGTGATATTCTGGAGGTCTCAAAAGTCTGAATGCAAAGCATTTCTTGCTCAGCTACAGTCAAACATTCATGACTTGGAAAAAATCAAACAAACATTACCAGCCTTTGTCCATGAAGTGTCACAGATAACAAATCTTTTAAGGGATACAAGACTATCCTGAAATCCAAGAATACTGATGCTCTTAGCCTCTGACATGTCAAAATGATCCTAGGGTCAGCTTTTTCCTCCTTCCCCCTCCCATTTCACCCCACCCCTGAATTTTTAACATAGTGTTGTCAAGAGTGTACATGCCATAAACAGCTATTCAGAAATACTTTAAAGAGTTCTAATGGCTCAGAGTTATTTGGTGCTTTCTATTTTACATGGAAAATCAAGGCAGTAGGATGACTCTTCTCAGTTTAGAGTCAGGACTTCTTAGAAGAAACAATTTTGCTGTTCCTGTTACGTCATCCTGCAAGTTGATGTTCTTCAATTTTTGCTTAAACACTACTATAAATTTTATTCAAGGAGCTAATTACCTTTATAAAGGTGTTCTTTTAAGAAGGTTGGGGTTTCCTTTGCTTTGTTTCTATTGATGTTTTCACATAAGTATTATGGAACAAACCAACTGCTACTTCTTTTCCCAATGTTGAAGGGCACAGACCACTCCTCCTGTCATGCACTTCCCGGTGTGGGTGTGATACTCCATCCAGTTGTTGCACTTGGACATGCTGTAACTCTGACACCTTGGTAGATTCACTGCTACTGTCTTGCCTCACTTCTACTCATGTTACAATATGTATTTCCTATTAAATCCATTATGTTTTCTTGGCAATTTGTTCTTTGTTTCCTTGTGGGGTTTAGACAGGAATAGTTTTGGCGTGTGTCTTTTTTTGCCACAAAGGTTCTGGAAGTATCTGCTACAACAGCAAATATTTGTAAGCAAAGTAGAAATTCATTAGTACAGCTTTAGGAAACTGTTAATGCAGCTGAGAGCTGCACCACAACTGTATTTTACCACATAATGAAGGCTAAAAGCACATTCACCTGAAGGAGCAAATTATTGTAAGCCTCTAGTAACACAATGTAAACTCTTCTGTGTTTTAACTTCCTTTTTTGTACTTCCTCTTCCTGAATATTGTGTGTCCAGCAGTGACATTGTGACGGTGAATTAATTGATTTAAGGCACAGAAATGGATCACATTTCTGGAGCTGCAAGACACTTAAGACTTCCTGGCTATCTTCCCACTTTTACCCCCCACGCTGAATACAATGAATTTAAAAAAAAAAAAGAAGGTTTCTTCTCAACGAGAAACTTTGCATTTGTGTGTTCAGGACACAAAAATCCCCTGATATGCAGATAGCTCTTGCAGTGTAATAAATGTTTGCCTGTAAAATTAGGTGTGAAGGTTAACCTTGGTATCAGCAATTCTTGTCCCTCGTAAGAACATTCTGCCTTTTCAGTCTAGGATTGAGTTAACCTGTTACAAGGGTTGAAAGGTCTGTGCCTTCTTATTATATTCTCTCTTACTGAAACAAACTCAAGCCGCTCCAAGTTACAGAGCGTTTGCAGCACTGTAAACTGCACAAATCTCCAGCCATTGCTTCACTGCATGAAGTGTAGTCAGATTACTAGTGGTGAAATATTGTAGTGATGAAATTCCCAAGCTTATGAATGTTTTGAGACTTTTTTTAGTCTTCTCTTGGGCTGGTCCTGAGAGCGTGTACAGGTTTGTCTGTATTGTTGGTTTGTAGATGCTAATGAGGAAAACCAGGCTTTTGTTCTCTCCTTTTTGTTTGAATTGTTACACTCCCATATAGTGCATAGAATGCAAATAAAGAAATGTTGATTTGACATAATGTAAACAGCCTTTTCAGCCTAAGCATTCATAATAAACTTTTATAGTGTAATAACATGCTAAATCACTACCAGTCTGATGTATTGTGCAAAAAAAAAAAGAAAAGGTGTAAACATTTTATTAATAAAAAGCTTTGTTTATAAATGTGCTGGCTTTGTTTATAAATGCTTCCAAAATTCTCAACATCTTAAAAAATAGTCTCTATAGCAATAAGGTTATAGAAGAGGAATGTCAGTAATAGCTTTTAAAATAGCATTTACAAACTATTCAGATAGCTGTTTTCCAAAAGTACTGACTACTGGTCGTTCAGAGACTGGAGCTTTTCCCTGGTTTATGTATACACAGACAAAGGCAGGAGACGATCTTGTGCAAAGAAGGGATGGGGGGAAACAGCAGAGAGAATGCAGCTTTTGTGTAACACTTCCTTTCTTTGCAGCATCATGTCTGAGAAACTGCAGGCCACACACAGTCCTGTCAGCCAGGGCAAGGCCTGACAAATTCTGCCAGGGCCAAGTTATTTAATACATTGCTTTTTACCTTAGGCTGCATGAAATGTTAAATTCTCTGCTGCTTAGGCCAGGTTTCTGTCAATCAAAGCTGTAAAGTGCTTTTAATATCTGCGCAGTGTCATGGGGGCCTGTCGTGCTGGGAAGGGATCCTTCTCAGTTGTTAATACAGCCAGCTGGTTGAGAGCTTGCTTTTTTTTTAAACCACTGCTCGGGTGGTTATGTGGAGCCCAAAAATAGGGAGTTGGCTACAGTTACCTCGTTTGTCTTACGTGATGCTTAAAAGATGTGCTTTTGTTGTTGCAATCTGTGATGCAGGTCGAACGTGTTGAGTTAATAACAGCCTTCAAAAGCTAAGTAAACAAAAAAGTCCTGTTTCTGAACTGCTGTTTCACCTGAAAGTGTTGGATACAAGTTTTTACTAAGCAAGTGGCTGCATTTCTTATGCAGGAAACACACACTGTCATCTTTTCAACAGACCTGGAATAATTTGAACTTACTGTTACCTGCTAGTTTGAAGTTCCCTCTTAGATGTGTGCAAACTGCTTTTTGAAGAGTGTCAAATGTGTTTGTATAAGATGGCAGGAATGTGCCAAAGAGAGCATAAGAAAGGTAGACACGAGGAGTGTGCTAAAATAGAGAGAAAGGCACATTTGCATGTGTTTGCATAGGGAATCTAGGGAACTAAATGCTAACCACCAGATTTGCACACACACACAATGAGAATGTTTTACCTTGGATCAAGTGTTTCATAGCTTTTAAGGTAGAAGTTTTTTAGCAGATAAAACTGTTCTTCAAGATTGTTGCAGTGCAAAGCTTTCTGATGCTCTCCAGCGTTTCCCTGTAGTGTTCATCCCGATTTTCTCCTGTTAATCAGAAACCCACCAGGGCAACAAGTTGCCTTCTTGTGGCTGCATTGTTACAGTGAGTGCTGGCTGGGTAACAAGTGTTGCAGGTGGCCTCCATGCACACCTATTTCAGTGAACCTGATCTGCACAGCACTAAATGTACACACATTATTTACACGTAACAAAAACCTGGCATTCATTGGGCTTCATAAATTTTCAACTTAAACAATGCTGTGCTTTATAAAAACTTCACCCCGGATGAAAACATGGGCGAGTCCTTCAAACACAAGCAGGTAAGTGCCAATTATGGTAAGATGATACATCCTGGCAAACCCTTTAAGATGTGGATCATCAAACCCTTCAGGGTGTTCTTTGTACTTCTTTCAGGAAAAGTAGAACTCGGAAAGGTCTGGGCAACAACACTTAATAGTTGTTTATTTAGGGTTTTTTATTATGTGTGACTATATGTTGTGTAAAACTTTCTCTCTTATTCCTCACCGTTAGCTTGCAATTAACTTGCAGATATGTATAAAGCTTGTCTTTTCTACTAATTACTGGTCTAGGAATGCCTGGCTCAGAGAGAGAATCTGTCTATGACATAAAACCTAAGAGATTAGGTGAAAGAAGATAACCTTTCCACAGTATGAGCCAAGAAAGCTCTACTCCAAAATATAACTGAAGTCAATTCTCTCCTGACTTGAGAACTAAAATGTTATGACATAACCTGTAGTTTAGGCTAAAAATTAACCCCCTTCAAGTAGCAAAAATAATAACCCAAGAACATCCAAGGCTCCAAATCTAATTAACTAAGCAAAATAGAATAGCAAGGACCTGGAAAAGAAAATGCACTCCTCTATCCTGTTGTGTGACCATCCTTTCTCCAACACAGAAGGAATTTAGGGAAGAAGAGCAGTATTTGAGTGTAATTCCCTGCATTGCTGAAGCTTCTAAAAATTGGTCGTGCTCTCCTGGCTGGAAGGAGTTCACAGGTTTCACTTGTATAATGCAAACCCAAGACTTATACTAAACACATGTATGGGTTTGGTTTGGTTTGGCATGGAATGAAAGACATCTTGGAACAAAAAAGATGAAATGGGATTGGAGGTGGTGAAGCAGATGAGCTGAAAACCAGGGATTGTCATGGACAGGAGCAGCTGAAGGGTGAGATGTAAACACTGCAGATGTGCTCAGTGAATGTCACTGTCCTGCTCAGGGGTGTTAATCTTAACATATTTTTATTCACCTCTCATCTGTTTGCTCATCAGCCCTGATCAGGATCCAACATAACTGGGTACTTTGAGTTGCTGTTCTTTGGAAGCTTTTTATCTCTGCAAATGGCATCTCCTCCAGAAGTCCTGTTACAGCAGCACTTCATAAACTCTTAGGAACTTTTCAAATGTTTAAAACAACCTGAGAAGAGAGGGGAGAAAAAAAAAGCAAACTGTTACTGTAATTACACTGGCCTCAGGCTATCAATAAACCAAGCTGTAAATTTAAAACAAAATATTTTAAACCACTGGAGTAAAAGCCAAACAAAACTAAATGCAAACAAAACAATCCCCAAAACACAACAACCAAAAAACACCCCAAACCAACCAAACAAAAGCCCTAAGGAACAACCCAAATGCACTTAAGAAAAGGGAGGGAGGGAGGATGTCTTAAAATCGCTGAGACGAAGTGAAACTCTGGTTTTATTTATTAAAAAGCGAGCGTTTCCTGTGCCTTGATGCCCGTTCCCAGGGCTGCCCTGGTCCCTCACCCGGACCTGCCCCGGGGTGTCCCCGCACGAAGCAGCTTCTGGAGCTCCGGGAGCTCCTCCTTTTCCCGGGAGCGCTTCCCTTCCCTGGCCTGTGCCTGGCCGAAGGCGCTGGAAGCCACGCAGGGCCGGCGATGTGCCCGAGGGCTGCTCCTGCAGCCCCGAGGCCATACGGCGCACAGGCCCTACAGTAACGCTGCTGCTCGACAACAAGAGGATTTGAGTACAAATCACGATTTCCAGCGGCGATTAAACACCAATTAGACCACTTTCTTCCCGCAAGGCTCCCGCAGCCGGAGCAGCGCCCGGGAGCGGAGGCGCGGAGCCTCCCCCGCGTCCCCTCACGGCGGGGCCGGGCCCCACGTCAGCCGCCGCCGCAGCCTCTCCGCGGGCCCCTCGGTGCTGCATCGTCCCGCCCTCCGCCCGCCCTGCCCGGGCAGCGTGTGCGCCGGAGCCGCCGCCCCACCGCGCCGCCCGCGGTCCCCGCTCCGCCGCCGGCACAGGGAGGACGAGCAGCCGGGACAGTGTGAACCAGAACCCCCGGGGAGGGTGAACCAGCGCCCGGCCGAGGGGTGAACAACCAGCCGGGCGCGCCCCCCGCCCGCCTTCCCTCCTCCCTCCCTTCCTCCCTCCCCTCTTCCTTCCCCTCCCTCCCCGTCCCTTCCTCTCTCCGCCTGGTGCCGCCACCGCCGAGGAGGAGGAGGAGGAGGAACATGGCGAAAGCGGAGCAGGTCCTCAGCCTCGAACCGCAGCACGAGCTCAAATTCAAAGGTAGGAGGCGGCCGCCGCCATCCCCCGCTCGCCGCCGCTCCCCGCGCCGGGCGGGCGGCGCGGCCGCGCTCCGGCCCCGCTCCCCGGCAGCCATTTTCCGGGGGCCGGGCACCGCCGGCAGATAAAATGTCCTTCAGCGCCGCGCCCTCGCCCCGCCGGGCCCCCTCAGCCCCGCGGGGGTCCCCCCGGGCCGCTCCCCCGGCGCCGCGGGCGGCTGCGGCAGCGCCCAGGGCGGCCCGGGGACACGGCGCGGGGGGGTCCCGGCCGCCGCCTGCGCCGGGAACACCCCGCTCCCCCCGCGCTGACCTTCCCGGGGCAGCGCCCGGCAGGGCGGGGACCCCCCGGGGGAGCGCCGGGACCGGGGGGGTTCCCCGGGCAGCCGCTGCCCTGCCCGGGGGGTGTGAGCGGCCCCGGCCGAGAGATCTGGTGCTCGATGTAGGACAGCGGTGTCCGTGCGGTGGGACTGGGAACCCACTGTCACAAACCCTGGGAATGGGTAAAGGGCTCAGCCAAAAGGAAAAAGCAGGAAATTGCTGCCTCTGATGCTGTTTAAGTGCGCTGTGTAGCTGTTCGGTATAAAATCCAGAGGGAGGGAGGATGTTGGGAATAAGGTGGTGAATGAGGATTTCTTCTTGAACATGTCCCAGTCACTGTGGGGTTGTTTCAACCTTGTCTCTCTCCAGCCTCTGGCCAGGTGCTGGGCAGCATTTCCTGCCTTTTTATGCTTATTATTATTATTATTGTTATTATAATTCAGCGAGCTATTTGGATAAATAAATAATCTGCCTGTGTGAAAATCCATCCTTTTTCTAAATAAAAGTCTTGAATGGGTTTGGGCTTTCGCTGGCACTGAAATTCCTGTCTTGCAGCGTGACAGCAGGGCTGTAATACAATATTCTGGGATTACAAATAAGCATTCAGCAAGTTTATTTATGCGACCAGAGTCAGAGGTGTTTTATGGCTTCGCTTTATTTTCTGGCAAACATGCTTTTTTTTAAAAATAGGGATTCATTTATTGGCTTCTGGCAAAAACAATACTCCTTTAAAAAAAGCTTTCATGTACATTTTCAAATATAGGGGAGGTGTGTAGCAGCTTTTATTAGTAAATATATTTGAACTAATATTATGAAATGGGTTTATCAAGCAGCATGTTAATAAACACTGGGTGGAATGAATATATCTTTGTTGTAAGCTGAAGTTGTTATGGCAGCAGTATCAAACATACTTAAGAAGGAAACTATTGTTGTTTTGACATTCTTTGTG